GATCGTCTGGCAGATCTTCCGCCAGATTTTCCGCGGGATCTTTCGCCAGATCGCCCACCAGATCTCACTCCAGATATTCCGCCAAATCTTTCTCCAGATCTTACCCGAGATCTTCCACCAGATCTTCCGCTAGATCTTCCACGAGATTTTCCGGCAGATCTTCCGCCAGATTTTCCTCCAGAGTTATAGTCCACATCTTCCGCCAGATCTTCCGCCAGATTTTCCGCCAGTTTCATCCTCCAGATCTTCCGCCAGATCTGCCGCCAGTTCTTCCGCAAGATCTTCCGCAAGATCTTCCGCCAGATCTTCCGGCAGATCTTCCGCTAGATGTTCCGCGAAACTTTCCGCCAGATGTTCCGCCAGATTGTCTTCCAGATCCTCCGCGAGATCTTCCGCCAGATCTTCCTCCATATTGGTATTCTAAATCTTCTGCGAGATGTTCCGCCAGAACTTCCGCCGGATCTTCCACCAGATTTTCCGCCAGATCTACCTCAATATCTTCCGCCAGATCTTCCGACATATCCTCCGCCAGATTTATCCATATGATTTTCCCGCGGGATCTTCCGCCAGATTTTCCGCTAGATGTTCCGTCAGATCTTTCGCCAGATCTTCCGCCAGATCTTCTTCCGTCAGATATGTCCGCAAGCATTCCCGAAACATTCCTCCAGATTTATCGCTTTACAACCGCGTCAAGCCTTCCTTTGGACACTCCCCAGATCTTTCGACAGATGCTTCCCAGATCTTCCTCCTGCTGTTCCAGGGCGTTCCTTGTTTCGTGTCATGCCGCGTCGCGGGTCCTAGTTTTCTTGTCTGCCTTGCTTCGGGATTGCAATCTCTACGGGACAACCTAGAACTTTAAATTCCATATGTTTTAAATTCCGTGTTCCCAACCATCTGTGGTGTTGGGTCCTCGTTTTGAAGAGACGGTCCCCGCGTTCCTCCTCTCCTCTCCTCTCCTCCTCCTCCTCCTCCTCCTCCTCCTCCTCCTCCTCTTCCTCCTCCCCTCCCTCCTCCTTCTTCCATGCGCCTCGCCCACCCAGCACAGCGCTTCGTGGCCCCATAGGGAGCCCTACCGAAACCCCCATATTGGGACCGCCCGTATGCGCCCCCACACCCAATTTGGCATTTTCACTCACCCGATACAACGCTTCGTGGCCCTATAGGGAGCTCCACCGAAGCCCCCTGTGGGACCTCCCGCATGCGTCCCCCACGCCGAATTTGGCATTTTCACCCACCCAATACAGCGCTTCGTGACCACAAAGGGAGCTCCACCGAAGCCCCCAGTTGTTTCTCCCACGTGCGTCCCCCACATCCAATTCGGCATTTTCACTTTCCCAGTGCAGCGCTTCGTGGCCCCATAGGTAGCCCCACCGAAGCCCCCTGTGGGACCGCCCGCATGCGTCCCCCACGCCCAACTTGGCATTGCCACCCACCCAGCACAGCGTTTCGTGGTTCCATAGGGAGCTCCACCGAAGCCCCCAGTGGGACCGCCCGCATGCGTCACCCACGCCCAATGTGGCATTTTCACAAACCCAGTACAGCGTTTTGTGGCCCCATAGGGAGCTCCACCGAGCCCCAGTGGTTTCTCTCACATGCGCCCCCAACATCCACTTTGGCATTTTCACCCACCCGTTACACCGTTTCGTTGTCAAACAGGGAGCCCCACCGAAGCCCCAGTGGGACCGCCCGCATGCGTTCCCCACACACAACTTGGAATTGCCACCCACCCAGCGCAGCGCTTCGTGGCCACATAGGGAGCCCCACCGAAGCCCCCCATGGGGCGGCCCGCATGCGCTCCTCCACACCTATTTTGTCATTGCCACTCGCCTTTTACAACTCTTCGCGGCCACATAGGGGGCTCCACCGAAGCCCCCATTGGGACCGCCCGCGTGCGTCCCCCACGTCCAATTTGGCATGTTCACCCACCCGGTACATCGCCTCGTGACCCCATAGGGAGCCCCACCGAAGCCCCCAGTGGGACCGCCCGCGTGCGCCCCCCACGCCCAATTTGGCAGATTCACCCACCCAGTACAGCGCTTCGTGGCCCCATATGGAGCTCCACCGAAGCCAACCCAGTACAGCGTTTTGTGGCCCCATAAAGAGCCCCACCGAAGCCCCCAGCGGGACCGTCCGCGTGCGTCCCCCACACCCGTTTTGGCACTGTCACCCACCCAGTACAGCGTTCCGTGGCACCGTAGGGAGCCCGACCGAAACCCCCGATGAGACCGCCCGCGTGCGTCCACCATGCTCATGCTCAATTTGGCATGTTCACCCGCCAGATATAGCGCTTCGTGGCCCCATAGGGAGCTCCACCGAAGCCCCCAGTGGGACCGCCCGCATGCGTCCCCCACACGGAGCTCCACCGAGGCCTCCAGTGGGACCGCCCGCATGCGTCACCCACGCCTACTGTGGCATTTTCACCAACCCAGTACAGGGCTTCGTGGCCCCATAGGGAGCCCAACCGAAGCCCCCCGTGGGGCGGCCCGCATGCGTTCCTCCACACCTACTTTGTCATTTTCACCCGCCTTTTACAACTCTTCGCGGCCCCATGGGGAGCTCCACCGAAGCCCCCAATGGGACCGCCCGGATGCGTCCCACACGCCTAATTTGGTATTTTCACCCGCCCGGTGCAGCTTTTCGCAGCCTCATGGGGAGCTTCACCGACGGCCCCAGTGCTACCGCCCGCATGCGTTCCCCCCCGCCCAGCGCAGCGCTTCGTGGCCACATAGGGAGCTTCACCGAAAAATAGATTCACTATTGCGGTACCCACAACTTCATATTGTCGGGTCCTTCGCCAGGATATTGTTTTACCCTCCCAGTATATAGGCATACACACTTACATGCGTATGTGCACACATATGTACGTTCGTTACGCGTACATGTAGACAGGCGTAAACGCATGCATACTTGCATGCATGCATACACATACATACAACATACATACATATATACATACATGCATACGTCTAAACGTACATATACGTGCACATACATACATACATGCATACATACATTCATACATGCATGCGTACAACCATACATACATGCACACGTACCTATTCACATACCTACACACACATACGTGCATGCATACATACATGCATGCATGCATGCGTATATTCTTACACACACGCATGCATGCATGCATGCATGCATGCATGCATGCATACATACATCCATACATACATACATACATACATACATACATACACACATCACCCCAGATACATGTACATACATACATACCTACACGCACGTACGCATCCATGCATGAATGCATGCATGCGTACATGCATGCATGCGCACGTACATACGGGCACACACATACGTACATTCAGCCATACATGCATACAGACGGACTGACACACACAGCTAGATAGATAAAGGCACACAAATGTACGTGCATGCATGCATACATACACACATACGTACACACGTATGTACGTACATGCATTCATACATACATACATCTATACATACATGCATGTCTGCATATATGCATCCATACATACATACGTTTACGATTGTCGTTCCTTCGCGGGAGGGGGTGGCCCCGAAACCATTGTGTTTTTTCTCTCCGCTCTCAGCGAGCGCGGCCGATGGACCAGAGGTGAGTCGGACTCGACTCGATCCTCGCGGCAGTGATTCCAACACGATTCGAGTAGGATGTATGGGCTCCAATACGGTTCCAGGGTTCCAATGGGATTGCAATTGGATCCCAGCAGTGTTCTAGTTTGATTCCAACAAGTGGTGAGCTTCAATCGGTTTCCAAGCGGATCCCATCTGCATCACTACAAGTATCCAGTAAGGTTTTCAACACAACCGTCGGATTCCAACCCGATTCCGTCCTTCACGTTGTCGTCGTGTCGTCGTCGGCAACGGCGCGCCCACGCAGCGCCTCCCTGATCCCATGGGGCATCCGCAGCACGGCGCGGTCGTCATCGAATACGGCGGCCTTCCCCCTGCACCCCCCAATGGGGCATCCGCAGCGTGTAGTCGTCGTCGTCGTCGTCCGTCGTCCGCCGTCCGTCGTCCGTTGTCCGTCGTCCTTCGTCTTTGTAGTCGTCGTCGTCGTGGTTGTCGTCGGCGTCGTCGTCGTCGTCGTCCGTCGTCGTCGTCCTTGTCGTCGTCGTCAGCGTCGTCGGCGTCGTCGTCGACGACTACGCGGGCCCACGCAGCACCCCCCATGTGGCATTCTTGTCGTGTCGTCGTCTTCGTCGACTGGATTCAATGGTTTCGATGGATCTCTTAGCTAATATTGCGCGTGTAGCCGATGGAGAGCCCAAACAGGATCCCTTTCCGATGGGAACACAGGACGGATTCCTCTTCTACTTCTTTTACTCCCACGCCCCCCGCTATTTTATATGCTGTTGTAATTTTGCCTGGGTGCTGAACGATATCGCTTGGCGATTCCCCCCCCGCTTTGCATACTAGCGGTGCCGTCCACACTGGGGGATCGATAATTGCATCCTACGGTTGCTCGGACCCCATTTGAGCGATGAAATCAAACAATGTCGTCTGCGCTGACATTGGCGCGTACGCTTCCAGCGTAAGGTCGCGCGTAAGCGCCCTTGTCTCCAATGTGGCGTGCCGCCTTGGCGGCCCGCGTAAGCCGCCGCGTAAGGTCACTACGTCGTCTCGCGTAAGACCCGTTTCTATTCGTCGCCCCTGTGGGAGGCTTCCCATTGGTGACTCCGCGCGAGCCCCGAAACGTGGACAGCCGGGGGCCCGCAGCCATTGGCTCACTGACCGCTCTGCTCGGCGGCGACCGATGGGGGTAAGTGAGAAGGAGGAGGCCTTCTCAGAAGGCGGCGAGGCTTCTCAGAAAGCCTTCTGAGAGGTTTTCTGAGTCTTCGGGAAGGCTTGGGAAACATTTCAGGAAGCCCAGAGAAGTTCCGAGCCAAGGCCCACAGCCTGCTCACTACCCCCCGGGGGGCTCGCCGCCGACATGTGGGAGGCCTCCCGAGGGTGACTCCGCGCGAGGCCCAAACGGTGGACAGGCAGGGGCCCGCAGCCTCTGGCTCACGGACCGCTCTGCGAGAGCGCGCACAACCCTGGTGCGCGGCGGCAGCCCGCCGGCGCATGGGGCGCGGCAGCCGCCGCAGCGCGGCCTCCGCATGGGCGTCGACCAGTCGCCGAGGTTGCGAGCAGCAGCGCCCCCTGCCCCGCGGACGCCTTCCAGCCTGGGCTCCCGCACGAGTGCTCCCAGCGTGCAGCTGGCACCGCGCAGCAAGCCTGGGGAACGCACGGAGTGGGCGGAGCTGGCAGGCGGCATCCAGGAGCGCCTGCGTCCGCTGTGCGGGTGTGTCAGAGGGCGCGAGCTGGACAACGGCACCGTGTTGCAGGCTACCCTGGCGGACTCCGAAGGAGGGCTACCCTGCCTGGCAGTCGGCAGCGACGGGCTGGTGGCTTCCACCTCCAGGGCCTTCCAGGATCTGGTCGGCCACGGCCAGGACGACCTCCTGGGGCGGCGCCCTGCCGACATCACCCTGCTCTGCCCAGCGCCCCCCTGGCTGCACGAGGTGCTGAACGGACAGTCATGGGGACATGTAGCAGCTTTCTACAGAGGCGTCGCGCTGGCGCAGAAGGCTGAGCGGTGCCTGGCGATGCTGGCCTCCCCGCCAGCACCTGTGCCGCGAGCGTTGCCCTCAAGGCGGAGCTCGGTGCCGGCATCACGAGCGGGGGGCGACATGCAACGCAGCCGTACGGGCCTCGCCGCGGCCGCGGAGGAGAAGAAGGGCAGGTACGACAGCACGGCCACGAGCCAGCGGGAAGACTGCAGCACCTCCGAGGACGAGGGCTGGCCCCTCTCCGAGGAAGACCGCGGTGCACCAGTGGAGCCTGCGGTGACGGCCAAGCCGCCCGCGGAGGATCTCTGCGCCCCAAGGGCGGTCCTACTGGTCGGCGCGACGGCTTCGGGGGAGGCGGCGTGGCAGCTCACGTTCACGTTTCGCGCCCAGCTGGGCACGCGTCACTTTGCCGTGCACGTGCCCGTCCTGCTGGCCCCCCAGGTGCCAGGCCTCCTCTGGCCGTGCCCCGGGGCCCCTCTCGCCTCGGAGCTGCTCGTGGACCACGCGGTGGTCCAGGCGGCCCTCGGCAGGCTCCGGAGCAGCATCGGCTCCTGGGGCGGAGGGGAGGGCGCGGAAGACCTGGTCGAGGCCGCCTCGGCCGCGTGCTCGGCGCTGGGGGAAGCCCTGGCGCCGGGCTCCGCGTGCGAGGGCCACCACTTCGTGCCCAGGCTGGGCTCCGCGTGCAGGGTGCCGCTCGACAGCCTGAGGGCGTGGCAGCAGGGCTTCGCGGGGATGGAGGCCGCGGTGACGGCGGGCTGGGCCCGCCCCGACCCCTCGCTGCTGCCGCACGGCGCTGCTCGGGGGCAGCCCGCGGCCGCCGGGCTGCACGGCGCGGCGTGCTGGGTGTCCGACCCGAGCGAGCCAGACTGCCCTCTGGTCTTCGGGGGTGGACAGACCTCCTACCCTGACACGTCGATTAGCGAATTGGCCGTTTTCGGTTCGCGGGAGGGCGTCGCGGCCGTCCTTTTTGCGGGTCCAGGTCCGTCGGTTTCGGTCCCAGGCCGTTTTCACTAAGGGGAGGTGTACTAAAGGGGGGTTTGTCCGCCGCCGAGGTCTACGTGTCCCGCGGCTTCGAGGACCTGACGGGCTACTGGCAGGCCTTCGCCCTCGGACGCAACGTCCGCTTCGTGCAGCCCAAGGACCGCGGGCGGAACCGCAGGTACAACGGGCCGGAGCTGGCGCGCATCCGGCGCTTCTGCGAGCACGGCCGGGATGACGACCAGGCTAAGTTCGTGACTGTCTTGTTGTGCGAGTCGGCCACAGGCCAGCTGGTGTGGACGATGCTTTACATGCAGTGCGTCGCAGAACCTGGCGAGGGGGGGCACAAGCCCTACGTCTTCGGCCTGCTGATCCCTCTGTGGCTGCAGACGGAGGTCATCGACAAGGTCCTCGGCCGCGAGTGGACCGACCAGAACGCCACCTCCCTGGCGGACCTGCGGGCCCGGCTGCTGGAGCAGTACGCGTCCTTCGACCACGCGAAGGAGGCCCTGCACTCTCTCGCCGACCGGGTGCTCCAGCAGTGGGTGTTCCGCCACGGCGGCGCTGCGCCCCCCGTCGGCATCTCGGCCGCGCGGCGCTTCGCCAGGCGCTGCAGCGGGGGCGCCGCAGGGCTGGTGAGTAGGGAGCCGCGTTGGGTGCGGGGCGCCTCCGTGGCCTTCGCGATCGTGGACCCCGAGGCGCTTGACTGCCCGCTGGTGCACGCGGGACCTGGCCTCACCGAGCTCACGGGGTACAGCGCCGATGAGCTGCTCAGCCGCAACGTGAGGGTTCTGCAGCCGTCGTCGCCGGCGATTAGCAGGGCGGCGAACGGCGATCAGCCCTCCCGCCTGGACGACTTCTGCTTGAGAAGCAGGGCCGACAGGGGCCCTCAGGAGGCACCCGGCGGACGGGCGACCGGGTTGGGCGGCATGGCGACGGGCCTTTCGCGGGG